AGGAAAAAAAAAAAAAAAAAAGAGGGGACGTGAGAAAGTTACGAAGAAAAAAAAAAGAAAGAGAGTTGTTAGAGAGAGACGGAGAAGGGAAAATCAAGCATTTTTATTGAGATTTCTTCCGTTCAGTCCGGTAGAAACGTAACCTGAGGCGTTCTAGCAGAAAAACCTCAATTTCTGGAGGTAAGATTTCAGAGTTTTCGTGAGAATTCTATATTTTTTTTATTTAGATGAATAGTAACCCATCTCAGAAAAACTTCCGTTAAAGTGAAAATTGAAATTGAGGTTTTGTAGAGTATCGTAATAAGAGTTTAACGGTGTAAGTGTTAAGACGATTGAATAAAGTTTTGGTGGATTTCTATCGAAAATCCGTGAGCCTAGATTAAGAAAGAACATATGTTCTGTTCAATTTTATGATGGAATCTGTGTTCAGGAATGTAAATCTTGACTCCAGGTACCGAAATCAAAAGTAGAATGAGTTATTAAAAACTCGGGAAACAAGAAAAATAAGGCGAAACTCTGCCAAAATTTAGTTCGACTAATTTGAACTAAAACTGGATTTCAAGAGGAATATGGGATTAAAGTGTGAGAAGAAAGATGTTTCGATAATCGGTGATGGTTAGAAACCGAACACAACGAGAATTTACAATTTTGGACCGAAACTTAAAATTAGGCCCATGACTGAGTAATTTGCACGATTTTAGTGCAAATCCTTGCGATAGGAAATGGTCTGAGGTTGACTACCAAATATAAGGATTGTAGGCTTTTCCGAAGTAAATTTTAATGTAATTATTGATCTTAGATTCTGAATCTAACGATTGAAAAATTTATGCAATAGGGCCGATTAACGGTTGAAGTTGGAAAGCGTCAAGGGAGACAAAAGACGCGTTATTAGCGAAACTTTGGTAAGTGCAATAGTTTCTCTATGGCTATGTCACGAACAAGCTTGCTTTTCTATGTTGCACAAAGATTTTGCATATAGTAGAATTTTGAATGTTAGATACAATGTAAATGCTAGATACTATGTTAGGTAAGTATCTACAAGACTTATGTAATCGTAGAACTTTATTATGCAAAAAGTATGTATCAATGTTAAGTCGAGATCAAACTAAGAAAAGTGAAATGTTAAACTTTAACGAAAGGTTAATCTCATGATAAAATGCTCAAGTAAAAGACAAGAAAATGAAACACGGAAACCATTCCATATAACGGTATGGTATCCGTAAACAAGAATGAAAAGAATGAGAAACACAGAATGAAAGTCGTTTAGAATTCTGTACTAGGCTATATGTTATGAATGCATATATGGGTATGCATAATTATTGCATTTGTTATGACCTATTGATACTTGCTGAGCAAAAGCTCATTAAGTTTGTTCATGTTGTAGGAAGCACGGGTAAGGCACCGGCTCCCTGAAACTTGATGCTGGGCATGCAGAGAGGGTGTAGCAGCGGAATGTGGGCAAGTGGGTTGTGGACGCATCATGTGTTTTGGAAATGCTGCTGAACATTATGTGTAAAATAAAATAGTGTTTATGTATTTTGATGACTAATGTAACAGAATGTCGTCAGAATGCTACAGCATTTTAGGTATGACTAATATAACAGAATGTTGTCAGAATGCTACAGCATTTTGACAATGACTAATGTACAGAATGCTGTTAGAATGCTACAGCATTTTACGAATAGTTGAAAACAGAAGGCTCGCTAAATGCTACAACATTTAGACGTACATGGTAATAATGAAAAAAGATTGGCCTGAATTTTAACAGGTTATAATTAGTAAGTGTTAGAGGTTAAGTAATGTTAAGTATGTGTATAGGATGACAATCAAAAGTTAGGGTCGTCACAAACAACACGATGATTGACATGGCAACTATAGCCAACAATTTTTTAAAAACCGTCATATAATACTTGTATCTTTAACGATGGATTTTCTTTAAACCGTCGTTGAATCTAGTTTTTTGCAAAAATTTGAGTTTACCCAGAAAAACTTCATTTCGCAAAAATTTACTCGAAAATCAAAACATCCTCTCACTGAGTTAGTTTGCCAACCCCTCCGCCTCGACAGCGCCGCCACCTCAAATAGGCCCTTTCTTCCTTTTGTTCTTCACAATTCTACTTCCGTTCGCAACTCTTTTCTCAATAAATCGGGGAAGGGCCACAAATCCACAAAGAGCATCAAGTGAATTTGATTAATTTTTTCATTTTTTTTGTATAAATTTGATTAAAAAAATGAAAAAAATAGCTTATATTTTATGGGGTTGACTATTATAGATGTTAGGTGTTTTTTGTTTGATAAAATTTATTTATGTTAATGATGATATTAGTTTAAGTTTTGTGATTTTGAGTAATATGGGTGTTGGGTCTTTGGTTTTTGTCTTGAATTTGTTATGTAAATGATGAAATTTGTTTAGGTTTTGTAGTTTTTGGTAATATGGGTGTTGGATTTTTATTGTTTGTCTTGAATTTGTTATGTAGATAATGAATTTTGTTTATGTTTATGATTTTGAGTAATATAGATGTGGGGTTTTGTTGTTATCTTAAATTTGTTTGGTAGATGATGAAATTGGCTTATGTTTCGTGGTTGTTTTAAGTAATGGTATGATTTATGTGTTTAGGTAAGTGAGATATTTATTGTTTTTTTTTTTGTGTAATAATGAATAGGAAATGGATGTTTGCAAATAGGTTGAGTAATGAATATAAGGAAAGGGGTTGAAGAAGTTATTTCCTTTGCAAAGAATACAATGAAAGGGAATATGTTTCGTTGCCCGTGTGTGCTATGTGATAATATTAGAAAACAATCAATGCAAGATCTTTGATTCCATTTTTTTTGATATAGCATTGATGAGACTTATCAAACATGGATAGCTTTTTAACTCAATCACGATCTATTTTACTAGTAAAAGTAATACATACTAACGTCATATCTACATTTATCATATTAATATCCTTTTGAATTCATTCAAATAGATGGTGACTCCGAGCAACATCTTACATCCATATAGGAACATTCAAATTAAAATATAAAAACAAACAATGCTTTAATTGTTATCAGTATCTACCAAGTTGGTAATAAGATCATGTCTACAACATAAGTCGCACAATTTGTCTAGAACCTTAACATTCAAAACAAGTAAAAAAAACAGAGGAATAACTAGAGATATCAAATGTCTAGCTAAATGAAATGGAGAAGTAAATCCTTCCATCTTGACAAAATGCTTCAACAAAAAAGTCATCTCCACTGTTTAACTTATAAGAAAGTGATCCACTATCAAAATAATGATCAAACTCAGCTAAAACTTCCACCATTTAACCTGTAAATAAAGCAATGATTAGTTACATCATTCATAACTACATAGCCACATCCACATATGTTTTGCAGTGAGTTAGAGGAAACATGGCTTCAATGATGCACTAGGCAAAAATTGAATGTCAAACTTGTAAGACAGAGAGTGTCTTACATGTATTGTTATATAGATAGTTGGAGAAAGTACGAGTCTTCATTGCCAACATTTAGACCCGAAGAGAAAAAAAACTTGCTATCACAATCATATAAGCAAAAGATTATAGCCTGTAAGCTAGTGAATTCACTACTAGAGAAATCTACTTAGATGGACTACGGTATTAGGAATCACCTGCATTGATGGTGGCTTCAGTTTTACTCTTAACTCTCGAACTGAACTCTGTGCAGCCAGCAATACAAAACATAAAAAATTATAATTCACGCAAGGAAATAAATTATGAGGCATAAAAAATTATAATTAGCTATTTTTTGTCGAGTAACGGAGTTAAGGTATCAAGTCTTTGGTTTAAAAATAATAGTGTCCTTCAGCTCTGCTATCTCCTGTTCTCGTTTTGGAAATGTCACTATGAATACAGCATCCTTCTTTTTGATCAGGTGGTTCATTCAAAGGTCAATTGATCAGGTGGTTCATTCAAAGGTCAATTCAAAGGTCAATTGATTATATATATATGATCAGGTGTTCAATTAGAGTGATAAATGTAATCCAAAAAGAAAGGAACTGAAAGGTGGTTCATTCAAAGGTCAATTGATTAAATTCCTCATCAATTTCAGTAATAATGGTCATGGATGGGGATTATTTTCATCCCAAAGCTTAACATCCTTCTCTTAAGTATTTTGATACTAGCTTATTTTGAGAGGAATCCATAGAATACAGCTGGATGACGTCATTCAAATCACAATCACAAAACTACAGAACAAGATGAACAAAATCCTTGTCACGTTTCACCCCATGAAATCTAACAATATTTTGGTGTTGTTTAGATACTATGATACTCACATTTTTTTTATCAGCCAATTCTACATGTCTCCACTCTCTGGAGAATAAGTTTCACAGCAATTGCTCTATCTTCATAAGACCCTTTATATATAGGAGTCCCAGAGCCGCTTAGCACATTAGGATTTAGGATGCAGGCAAATGGTTACTACGAGGGTGTTTGTTTCACAACTCGAGTTAAGAACTCGAGTTGTGTTTGTGAGAGAAAAACACTATAATAAAAAAGTAGAATTTGAATTTTTGTGAAAAAAAATACTATAGCAATAGAACTTGAATTGTGACTTGAGTTGTGAAAAGAATAAGGCCTATGTGTTTCGGCCTTTTAATTTTTGGGATTTATTTGAACATTAGGATTTAGGACGGAGGCAAATGCATTTTTTTAAAACGTCTTTAAAGTAAGTAACATATTTTTTTTAAAACGACATATAATGTACTGATAAATAAATGATTTATGTCGAGTAAATAAATTATTTACTCGTAAATACATATTCACTCTAATTATTTTTAAATATGCTGTTTACTTTACTAATAAATATCCTATTTACTTATTTACTTAAATTATTTTATTTGGGTGGGAGATCATTGGACCTCAATGCCCTTCAAATGATTTTTTCACCTTAGTACAGCTATTTTCTCTTAGGTTTCATATTTGTTGGACCTATTCTTATTAAGCACAATCATATCTCTCTAAATTTGTTTTTGTTTTTTGTTTTTTTTTTCTTTTTCCCCAAAGCTTGGTAGAAACATTGTACGCTAGAATTCAATTTCTTTCAAAATGGTTCTGACTATAGTACAATTTTTCTTTCCTATCCATTAGATCCCACTACCAGTAATCCCTGCAGGAACAAGAGCCATCCTTGAAATAATGGAACCTATTTCTATCACGCACAACTATCTCTCTACCAACAATTGCTGATATTAGCTTGAAAGCTGCGTGACAATCCTCACAAACTCGGAGATTCTTCATTATCCGAATCGGGGTTCCAGGTTCCGTGTTCATCAATCCAAAAACCAGCGCTAATTTCTCGCTATGACGGTACAAAAACTTCTCCTTCTCGCCTTCCTCCATGTCTAAAAGAACAACTGATGTGTTGGGCACATACCCATTTTCCTTCATTTTCTCAAGTAGATTTCCCCACATCCGAAATATCTCCACAGCTTGAGGATGGCTCTCATCCCCGGCGACAAACTCGTGAACCGTTCCATCTACTGTGATTGTGCTCCAACCCGGCGTCTTCTTTACTCCTTGCTCTCTCATCAACTTCCTAATTCTTGCGACATTTTCCCACTGCTCTGCTTCAGCATAGATGTTTGACAAAACGACATAGTATCCATCGTTAAACGGATCCAATACCGCAAGGTGTCTAATTGCTTCCTCAGCCAATGCAATGCTCTTGTGAACTTTGCATCCGCCAAGAAGTGTCCCCCACACAACGCCATTTGGGTCAATTGGCATGTTCATTATGAACTCGTGAGCCTCTTGAAGCAGCCCTGCCCGGCTTAGAAGATCAACCATACAACCATAATGCTCGATTCTAGGGACTATGCTATGATCGCAAGTCATGCTCGCGAAAAATTTCCGACCTTGGTCTACCAAGCCCATGTGGCTGCAAGCGTGCAAGAGGCCAATGAAGGTGACCCCATTAGGCTTCACACCAACTTGAATCATCGTGGAGAAAAGCTTCAACGCTTCCTCGGCTTGACCGTGCATGGCAAGCCCTGCAATCATGGCGGACCATGAAACAACCGTCCGTTCTTCCATCTTATCGAAAACTCCTCGAGCATCCTCCAAGCATCCGCATTTAACGTACATGTCAATCAAAGTGTTGGAAACACGGACATTGCTTCCGAAACCGCTTCGGTTCGAGTATTCATGAATCCTCCTGCCTAAAAACAAGTCCCCTAGATCAGCGCAAGCCGCAAGAACCGCCACCACAGTCACTTCATTTGGCTTAACACCAGCCTTTTCCATCTCCAAGAACAGATTAACGGCCTCCCTTGGCTTCCCAGACTGAACAAAACCGGCAATCATCAACGTCCAGGACCTGACATTTCTTTCAGGCATTTCAGCAAACAAGCCATAGGCTTGTTCAACCTCATCCCTTTTTATCAACTGGGTCATCATAATATTCCACGCAACAACATCTCTATGCGGCATTTTGTCAAACATCAACCGGGCATTCCCCATTTCTCCACACTTGGCGTACAAATGAACAATCGAGTTCTGCAAAAACAAATTCCAACCAAACCCAAGTTTCTCCACATTCCCATGAACGATTCTCCCATTCCTAACATCCGACAAGCGCAAGCACGCCTTCAGAACGAACGAGAGTGTGAAACTGTCGGGAAAAACATCAAACTCCCGCAGCCGTTTAAAAAGAGAAATTACATCTTTTGGGCAATCGCCTTCGGCGAAAGTTTTGAGACACGAGTTCCAGAGGACAATCTCCGAGTCTCCGCAGTCGACGCGTTGGAAGATTTGGCGGGCGTAGGCGAAAGTGGCGGGAGGAGAGAGAGCGCAGACGGCGGCGACGCGGGGGAGAGGGATGAGAGAGAGAGGAGAAGAGGTTTTGAGGACGTGGGCATGGAGTTGTTTGAGCTCAAATGGAGAGTTGAAGGTGTGGAGAAGAGGAAGGAGATGATCAGGAGAAGAATTGGATGATGATGACGATGATGAGCGGCGATGATGAGTTCTGTGGGGAGGAAGGTGGTAAAGAGAAGGAGAGGAAAGCATTTCGTTGGTTGTTACCGCTAAACAATTTTGAGGCGCTTTCTTTATATAGAAAACTATAAAATAATTTTAGAGTGATGCTGTATTCTAGCAATTTGGTAGGATTTTAATGAAATTGTCATATTTATTTTTTTAAAAATAAGAGTAAAATTAAGAAAATTCATTTACAAAATTTATTAAATACATTAAAATCGAAAGAAACGTTAATTAATTATGATACGGAAGATGGACACAGTAACTTTTAAAAAAATACATTACCATTTTAATGTTATTTTCTTTGAACGTGCATGACAAATAGTTTTAGGCAAGCTCCGTTCGTTTTGTTTGTTTGGGTTACAATTTAAGTTTTTATTATAGTATTTTTTTTCTTAAAAATTTAAATTTAATTTTTTATTATAATATTTTCTCTCACATTATTTATTTTGTAGCTGAAGTTTTCAACTTGAATGAACAAAATAAATGAGGCCTAAGTAATCAACTCACTATAAATATGCTAGTCATTAATTTTTTGCTTTAGTAAAAAAAATGATAAATAAATGCATAATTTTAAATGATAATCATTATTATTTATTCATGTTAACTTTTTAATTTTTATAATAACATGATCAATTTAATTGTTTATCTTAAACTATAATAACGTAGAGGTTTGAAATATTTTCTTAATTACGCAATTTTTTTATGATATTTATTCTCTATTCAACTGATTATTTTTTAATGAGAGACATGTTTCACCTCACAAACTCATTGTTCTAGTGATATGCTTAAACGCATTCTCTAAGATCTACATTTGCCTAATATAGTTAGAAATTATCAACCAACTCGGGATGAGAAAAAATAAAAGACTAAGACTAATTGACAATTATCCTTTTTTCTTTAAAAGACAGCATTTATAAAATTAAATATTAAAAAAACATATCAATAGAATATCTTTATATTAACTTTCTTGAAGTGGTAATAAAAAATTAATTATCTTTTAATTCATTTTTGTACTAATTTGCTAGTATAATACAAGAGGGAAGTGTAAAAAGTTATTGGATGTCAATAATCATTAAATTTGATACTAATTAAGTCTTGCTATATTTTGTTCCCTTTTGTTAGTCTTTCTCCCCCATCATCTACAATTTTTACCACTAAATATTAATACTTTTTCTATATATGTAATACTTCCTTTTTCTTGTTAAGAAATTATTTTTTATTTGAAGTAAATGTTTGAACATATATCTCATTTTTTAATGTATCATTGTTTTTTATTTTTTGCATGTTTTGTTACATTTTTTTCCCTCATAACATCGATTCTTTTAGGGAATAAAAATGTCATTGCAATATCAAATTAACTTAAAAAACATCTCTTAGAAATTCAAATATACAGAGTCAATGTGTCAAATTTAAAAGAATAACAATAAGTTACTCTCCAATGAGTTAGTACATACGAATTTGGACTCAATAACAATACAAAAAAATAAGGATGTCAGTATGTTAAAGGACAATGGAAAATAAAACAAAATTAACTTAGAAAACGACATCAGCATGAAAAGGACAAAAATGTAATAAAAACGCCAATGAATTATGAAATGTAAACAACGACAACTTGGTAAACGACAAAAACCTGAAAATGTAATGCAGAAAGGAGGTGCAAAAACGTTAGCATACTGACATAAACTGAAACTACTAATTGCAGAAGAAAAATAAACTGAAAGAACTCGAGTCTAAAGAATAAACGACAACCAAATTCAGAAACGACAAACGAGTGTGTCAGCAAAAAAAAAAAAAAAAAAAAGGAGAAATAAATAAGCAAAGCAAGAGGCCCAACATAATTCAACTAAAACGAAAGGGCAGCAAATAACCAGACATGGCAAAAGTATGATTTATAGCGGCTTTTAAGGTAACTAATAGAATTAGTAAAGGGTGTGTATCCATATATCCGTTCTTATTCTTTATACTTTTTAAAAAATAATTTTTTTATTACAAGAAACCCTCATGTAACAATTATAATATGCGCAATTACATAATTAAATTTTAACGTACAAAAGAAATTAATGATAAGTATTTTATTAACTCCACACAGTACTCCATATATGTCATATCCTCAAATCTTAAATTATAATGTTATTTAAAATCTATGACAAATCCGATTTGTTAAAAAAAAAAAAAAAAAAAAAACTGTAACAAAACCTTGATTTTTAGCTTCTAATGACTATTTCAAAAAATTGCATGGAAATATGTCAAATTTTGTTTCCTATAATTTGTTGTTACATCTTCAAAATTCAAATCATTTCATTTTGTTTAATTTTTTTAAAAAAATTTTGTTGCGTTTCTTTTTTTTTTTTTCTCTTTTTCTCTTATGCTTATACTTTATTTTTTGAAAAAAAAAAAAAGAAAATTGAATTGTCTTGCTTTCTATTAAATTTAAATTGTTTTGCATATGCCATTTGGACGCATGTCTTATAGGATGGTTAAAGACCATTGTCGTGTCCTGTCTCATTGCTAGGGTTTCGTTTCTCTCATCTTTCTCTTCAACCACACGCCACTCCTAGTATATGTATCTTCACCTATAATCAACCACCATTTCCATTTTCCACTACTCTCTATCTCTACTGATCAGGTCTTCTATAATTTCTTAGGTAAAGTCTATTATAGTTTCCTTTCTCAAGTCAAAATCCATCAACATACTCTATAAGTAGTACTTCTTATAGTACTTTCATAATTCACGGATCGAATCATTACTAGGTTTTCTGAATTGATCCTTAATTTCTACTTGGGAAAAGTGATAATATGTCAACCGTGTGAGTTTACATCTTAAACTTAATTTCTGAATTGATCCTTAATTACGAGTTAAGATGTTGGGGAGCTCAAGTGCCCATATTGCGGACCCATTAACGGTACTAAATATTTTCTTTTGTCCATGTGCTGTTCCAGCTGTACGACTATAGTTTATAGGAATTATTCTATTGTTTGTTTTCTTCTTTAATTACCATTGATTTCTTTTTTCTTTTTTTTGCTTTAGCCATCTTATGAAGATATCTTAGTAGCTGCTGAAGCCGCTGTTAAACAGCTCGTAATTCTCTCTCTCTCTCTCTCTCTCTCTCTCTCTCTATATATATATATATATATATATATATATATTACTCTGTATTGCAACTGCGTGACTAATTAATTAAAGTGTTACACCCTATCATTAATATCCCATTATTGTACATGTTTCTTGCTTTGACTTTCTCTTAGTGGTTTTTTGCCTTCTTTTTATTTTCGTTTAGCTATTGATAAAATTTGATATGCCCATTGTTCTCATCAGAAAGAAAAATTCAATCCACAGAGAGCTGAAATATGGGCAAGATGTTTAAGAGAACTCAAGAGACATGTAAGTAATAATTCGTATTTATATATGTATCAACTTTAATTGATGATCTATTTTCATTTGAAGAATGTCAGTTACATAGAATCTGCAATACTATTTGTGAAAAATTCTTCTATTCAATCAGGATGAAGAAGATCAGAACAATATTTCCAGCTCCGAAGTCTCAACCGACGAAAATCGGCTGTGGTCCTATCCAAAAAAGAAATTGCTATAGGCAGCAATGGGACCCTTATATGTGAAGGGTCCTATGAAGGTAGACCAGTTGTTGTGAAACGCCTTCTCCAAAGTCATCATGAAGTGGCTCTCAAAGAAATCCAGCATCTGAAAGAATCTGATCATCATCAAAACATTGTAAGATATTATGGGGTGGAACGGGACAAGGATTTTGTTTACCTTGCTCTTGAGAGGTGTAATTGTAATTTGGATGACCTTATTCAAATATGTTGTGCTGATTCCTCTCAATATCAGCTTGTCATGAATGACCATCATGATGACTATTCTACTATAGCCGTGACTGTATATAGAGAAGACCGCTTGGAGCAATTGAAGAAAGTTTTGGGAGATGTTAGCCTTAGCAAAGCAAATGGCTATCCATCAGCTTTACTGTTGAAATTGATGAGGTACGATGGGTATGTGTGTGTATATATAACTGATGATGATTATTATGACTTTTATGTTAATTGGAGTACTACTCATTTTGATGCCTTTACATTTTTGAATCCTTTTCGCTAGGGATTTATTATTCTGTAAGTGTGCTAATAGATAACCATTTTGTATATATTAATTCACAGAGACATGGTTTCCGGGCTTGTTCATTTGCATGAACTAGGTATAATTCATCGAGACATAAAGCCTCAAAATGTGTTGATAATTAAGGGAAGGTCAACTTTATGTGCAAAGCTTTCAGATATGGGAATCAGCAAAAAGCTTCCTGAGAATAGGTCTTCCTTGAGTCACCATTCGACTGGCAAGTACCCAATTCCCTATTACACATCCAAACCTATTCTAAAAATAACTTTTGTCATATAAATATTGTCATGGTTGGATTGAAGTGCCATCATAGCTGGGATGTGCGAGTGGTTCTTGATGTTAGTTTTCTTCTAATCTTTGCTAAAGAAAATGTGATGGTCCAGAACGTATAAGTAGTCAGGTTGACATGGAATCACATCACTATATTTCAATTTTAACATCAACTCTCTATTCATAAACATGACAGTAACAAGGCTATTATATGTTTATTAATCATGTTATTTGAGATGATATTGAGTTATTGAATAAAAATGAACCACATTTGACCTAGATTTCATGTTGTCAAACATATTTTGTCCTCGAAAACATGCATTTTCCCTTTGGAAATCCAAGGTGGATATACTGCCGCCGTCTTCATTAGCACTATCATGAAGTGAAGTTTGACATTAATTTTGTAGTTAACCAAATTTTAAATGCTTGCATCTCTCACTCCCTTAAACGTTAGTCTTGTGCATGTTTCTGTGAATCTATCTATAGGTTGCGGCACTTCGGGTTGGAAAGCGCCGGAATGGCTTCGTCATGGTCATGGTCCGTAACACCTTGAAGAATTAAATAAGATTAATTATGGTAATTGAGAATTATTAGTGTGCCTGATTTGAATTAATTAATTGGTTATTAATTAATAAATGTTTTTTATGTGAGAATTTAAATAATTCCAAAGTATTTGAATATTCTCAGTATTTATATTTTTACCCAGAAGTGTGTATGGACGCATTTTTCTGGGCTGTCATTTTTAAAATATTATACACATGCCTTTCCTTTTCTTTTTCCTTTTCTTTTCTTTTCCTTCTCTCTTTCCTCTTGTGCATTCTCTCTCACACTCTCACTCTCGTTCTCTCTCTCTCTCTCTCTCTCTCTCACTCACTCTCACTCTCTCTCTCGATTGTCTCTCTCTCTTTCTCTCTTCTATTTTTGTCTCAAATTAACCGGATCTTGAACCAAGGAAAGATTTAAAGAAGTTTTCAACGTCAAGAGGAGGATTTGAGGTAAGATTTCTGAAAGACCCTCTCTTGAATCTTGGATTTGTGGATTTCAAAACCCCCACTTTGGTTCAAAACGGATTTTGGTGGATTTTTAGTAAAACCATGGTAGAAATTGGAGATCTTGAGTTCTTTGGATTTGATTTAGTACTTAGAACCCGGATCTAGTGGTTTTCCCTTGAAATATTTCGATTTGGGACTGGATTTGCAAGTTTTCACACTAGTTTTGTGAGTTTTCTCGCACTGGTGTTCTTCACCGGTCGACCTGTGTGGTCGACTGGGTTGCATTAGGCCTACCAGTCGACCTGTCTAGTCGACCGGAGTGCACACCACCGGTCGATTGGTGGTGTTGCACTGCTGTGTCACCGGTCGACCGGTGCACATGGGGTTTGACTCTATTTTGCCTGAAAATGCTATTTTGACCTCTATTTTTTAGGAGAACCCAAATCAATTTCATTTAGGGATCTAGAGCGAATGGATTAACATTTTTAATCCACGTTTGAGATTGAGAACTCTTGGAATGATGATTTGAAACATGAAATGGTTTATGAAACTGGTAAATCAATTATGGCACACTAATAGGAAATCTATGTTTACGATTGAGATTGAAATTGCTTTAGGAATGAGAATTGATCCTAACTTGTGAGCCTGACTTTCAAGAAAGATTTTGGCCTTGTAAATGTTTTAAAGAAAGGGGCTTGTTTGTGAAAGAAAAGCATTTAAAACCTAAGGCTTGATGTAGTTCATGATACCCATGGCTTGTTGTAGTTCATGGGGCCATGGCTTGACGTAGTTTCATGGGACTCATGGCTTGTGTAGTTCATGAGTTTATAATAAACGATTTCAGAAAAGTTAATGAATGATTTCTTAAGATAAGAGATCTTGTGAATCGGTAAACTGGCTGATGGCCAAGATAGGATGTGGAGAGTGCATCCATGGGGGCAGAACCCGAAACCCAGCCCGGGGATGATATGGCTTGTGCACATGGTTGTGTAAGTAATTTGTATAAATTACTTACTGATGCTTGTAATACGGTGATTTTCAGTTATATTTCCTTTGAGAAAAAGGATATGAGGTTCGGGCTGTCTGTTGGAACTGAATGTCTGATTTTATTTACTTATTCATTTATTTATTTCCTCACTCATTTATCACTCACTTATTTATAAAGTTTATTTCAAAGTGTATCCTACTGGGCCTTTCGCTCACGTTTTACTATTTTATGAATATTAAACCCCTCCTAGGAGACTCTAGGAGCGGTGCGGAGTAGCCGGATTATTTGCTACTGATCGATCAAGTGAGGATTGTGTTCATCCTCTTGGATAAATGTAAGGCAGTGTAACTTCTGTAAACTATTATATTTGGATTTCTAGACTGTGGTTGATGTCTGTAATGTTGTTTACATTTTCATGTATGTACAATACTGTATGTCCTGTGGGTGGAGCCCTGTGTGTTGTCAGATGGCAATCAAAGAAAGAGATACGGAATCCTACCTCTCAAGTACCAAACCTGTGGCTAGCGTTGCTCTATTCCGGCTTCTGCTTCTTCAAAGCCTTCAATTCAACTCCTCAGCTAGCATTGACAAAAAACAATACTTTAGGATCCAATTCTCATTCCTAAAGCAATTTAATCTCAATTATACACCTCGATTTTCTATTAGTGCGCCTTAATCCAATTCTAAGTTTCATAAATCATTTTATGTTTCAAATCATCATTCCAAGGGTTTTGATCTTAAAACATGAATTAAAATTCTAATCCAGCTACTCTAAATCCTCAAATGAAGGTAATATGGGTTCTCTTTGAAAATCAAGGTCAAAACAGGATTTTTAAGCAAAACAATGTCAAACCCCGTGTACACCGGTCGACCGGTGATAGAGAGGTTATTCTCCACTGGTCGGCCAGTCGAGGAGGAACCGGTCGACCGGTGGGAGCCAGACAGCTCGACCAACAGGGCCGATTCGAAGAAAATCCGGCCAAAACCTACAAATCCGAGTTCAAATCTGAAATATTTCAAGGGGAAACAACCAAATCCAGGTTCTAGTTACTAAATCAAGTCTAAAGAACTAAAGATCCCAAATTTCTACCTTGATTTTACTCAAAATCAATCAAAATCTATTTTGAACCAAAAGAAAGTTTTCTAACCGAAAAATTTGAGATTCAAGATAAGTTTTTTAGAAATTTTACCTCAAATCATTCTCTTGACGTTGAAGACTCCTTGAAATTCTTCTTTGGTTCGAATTCTGGTTGATTTGGTGAAAATTTGAACGAGAGAGAGAGTGAGAGAAACAAACGAGAGAGAGAGAGAAAGAGAGAGAGAGAGAGGAAAAAGAAAAGAAAAGAAAAAGAAAAGAAAAACAGGTGCCAAAATATTTAAGAAGATAGTCCAGGAAATGTGTCTACACACACTTCCGGGATGAAAATATAATACTGACAATATTTTAATTCCTTGAAATTATTTAAATTTACACGTCAGAAATATTTATTAATCAATAATTAATTAATTAAATCAGATTAGACACACTAATAAATCTCAATTAGCTTAATTAATCTCGTTTAATTTCTCGAGGTGTTGCCACCAGTCAGTTGTTGAGGTTGGTAAGCTTAAGATTGGTGTTATGAAAAATTCTTAACAAGAATTGCTTGCGGTCAAAGCTTTTGGGCTTGAAGTTATGCCACGAAGAGCTCCTAAAATTTTTTCTATTATTTCGAGGGCTCTTCCTCCAAAATTGGATTAGAGCTAATACAGATGGGGCGGCTAAGCGTAATGGTCTAGCTGGGGCGGGGGCTGTCTTTCGAAATCGCAGGGTTTTTCTCAGGAGCTTTTAGTACCTTTTATGGCGAGTGTTTAGCTAAGATGTGGACTATTATTTTGCCTATTAGATTAGCTTGGCATAAGGGATTGAGGCATCTTTTGTTAGAAAGCGATTCAGCATGTGTAGTTCATCTTTTTCGGTGTAGTTGTTCAAATATTCCTTGGTCAATTCACAATGCTTGGATTTATGCTCTTGAGAAAGCTAATTCTATGAGTTTCGTTATTTCTCATTCTTTTAGAGAAGCTAATTAGTTGCTGATTTTTCAGCCAATTTCAGTATAGTTTCTGGATGTTATATTTGGTGGCATAATGCTAGAAGTTTTGTTCTTAGAGAATTTGGTTTTAAATGTTTCTAGTTTTACAAGATATAAGTTTTAGGGTTTGATTTTGTTGTTTTTTTGCTGTGTTCTTTTGTACGTTTATTTTTTCTTTTAATAAAATTACAAGTCTGTGACTTGTTTCATAAAAATAAAATAAAATAAAATAAAATAAGATAATGAATCTAAAAGAAATAAGGGCGCGTTTTGGCACACCGTATTAGCAAGGGGTATTAGCGGCCGTCAACAAAAACTAATCAGTGAAACTTAAAATTTGTATTCTTTGCCCTTCAAAAAAGTTCGTATTTTGGGGGACTTTAAAAAGGTTAATATATACTGGATTAACTAATAGCGTGAAAACAAATACCATCGTATAGATTTTCGGCTTTGAATCATTGGATGTAATCCCACGACTTATCATACATGTCTTATCCATAAGGGAAAAAATATTCTTCATTCTAAGTCCAATGAAGTTTCATGGAAATTACCTCATGCTTTCTTCGCTCAAGTTCAGTAGCATATCATGGATAAGATTAGTTAAGGCTACGCAAAATATGTGCGTGTGTACATATATATATATATATATATATATATATATATGTAATTATTTATATAGGAAAATGCCCATTTCCCATACGTGCATGGATTTCATTTGGTGGTGCATTTGAGCTTTAATGAAAACTTTAGGGACTTGCCCCGCACTCACTAATTAACCATATCGAACCATAAGAATTTTGCCAACCAACTTGTCACAGTGTCGTGAAAAATATTTTCACTTAGAAACTAATGGTGAGTGAGCAAGAATCTCTACCGATTTGGCCTACGTAATTTGCAAAACATGCAAAATAAGGAGTACAAAAACATACTGTTAGCCACTTATGCTGATACAGAACAGTTCAGTAGTTACAGGGTTAGCCAACAAAAAGTTATTTACGTATTTCACTATTCAGGTCTTGACTTAAAACCGAAACAAATACTCGTGTATACTTGCATTTGGAATATAGTTCCCATCAACGTCCCCTCAATGTGCCACAGATTTCCCTTTTATTCTAGTTGAAATATTTCTTGAAGTGCTCCTCTTGTGTACAGTGTGTGCACACAATTTTGTACACTTCAATCAAGAGCTTGGGGAATCGCCTTGTAAAATAGTCGTCCAATCCCTCATATAGCGACCCAACGAGAATCTGAAATAACCACCATCGAATTAAGTGAATATTAAGCTTGATAAACGTTAATGTATGTAAGATGTATCACATTCCTATACTAATACTACAGTTACCTGAATATCATCCGGGAGTTGTCTGTAGTGATTCAACATGTCTCCAATAAATCGCAACAAGTCTCGTACACTGGTAAACTTATAATCCTCTTTCGCATATGTGAGAATGTGCGTGATTATCTGGGCATGCACCTTTTTGTTCCATCTCAAAACCACATTTACCAAGCACATTCTTTCTATATCGAAAACTATGTCTGCAGTAGATTCGAGCACTTTAGAAATATCAGAGTTCTTACTTACTCTATCACTAATATCACGGAGGAAAGAAAGTCTCTTCTCTGCATCCCAGAACAGTGGATGGTGCAGCACCTCATTTGCTTTTGGCCTGCAAATTGTAACACACATATATATATATATATTTATATGTACCTTTCTTTAAGTTCTTTATATAAAAATAGAGTAGCATATTTTGAAGCATTAATTGTGTAGGATCCAAGTTAAAGGAAACTATATGATCTTACCTTTGCTCAGGATTTGCTCTTATTAATGAAGAAATAAGATGTAAAGCTTCAGGGAAATCCTCTATCATATACATGTTTCGCTTAATGTTTTTCTCAATATTCCCAACACATTCATCATGGTCCCCAAATGGATGCCTACCACGAGTGATGCAAAAAAAGAGGATGCAACCTAAACTGAACAAATCCATTGCACTCGTTTGTTGTCCGCGAAGAAGCTGTTCAGGCGCCTTCCACCCAGTAGCGGCGTAACCTATATAGTTGATTGAAAAAAAAAAAAAAAATACACCCATGCGTGAGACTAAAATTGAAGGGAGTGAAAAGCAATCAAAATTACATTAAACAAAATTGTTTATGGTGTATATTGCAAGCAAATGTTTAAAATGATTCTAATATATTTATAAATGAAATGGGACACATTTTGATGAGAGTAATAAAGCACTAGTATGCATGATTACTTATGAGATCCACTTTGAAAGAACTTGTGCTTTTACTTTTAAGTATAAGTAAGAGTTTTTTAATTAGTGCTTGGATGGTGCATAAAAAAAAAACTTGTTTTAGAAGAGTTTTCGAACATATTTGGTAAATAAGTCATAAAGCTCGTATTGTTACAAAAGTAATATAAAATAATAACATGGTGGAACTTTTAATAAATCATAGAATTAGCTTGATCGACCAGTATAACTAATGTATATGTATAGTTATGATGTTTAAAGTAGGGAAATGAGAGTACTTGCCAGAAGAATGGTTACTCAAGGAGAAGTTATTTTCAGAAAGACGTCTGCTGATACCCATATCAGAAAGCTTTGCACATATAGTTGAGCTTTCTTGAATTATTAAAATATTTTCGGGCTTTAAGTCGCGGTGAACTATATGTGAATTGTGAAGAACAACAAGCCCAGAAATCATGTCCCTATGAGATCACCAATTGAAAGTATATAAGGAAATTTGCTCAATAAGCATGATAAATCTCATCCAAAAAGAAAGGACATACGAGATGATAATTCATTCAAATTCCATTTGAATAATCTTATAAATTGTCCCCAGCTATGCAGAACACGATTTAAAGTCCTTTAGTGATGATGAAAGGAACTTATGACTGACCTCATTAATTTCTGTAATAAAGGTGATGGACGACCATTATTTTCTTTCCAAAGCTTTACATCTCCTAGCTTATTCTTAAATTTCTCCAAGCGACCATCTTTGTTGTGCTGAGTTGATACAGGTTCATACTGAGAGGAATTTGTAGAATGCATTTGGATGAGTTCATCCAGATTGCAGTCACAGCGCTCCAAAGCAAGATATATAAAATTTATGTCACGTTCCACCGCATGATACTTTACAATATTTTGGCTACGGACTGATTCTATGAGATTTGCGATTTCCTTGTCAGCTAGTTTAATATGACTTTGAAGAATGCGTTTCACTGCGACCGCTCTATTTTCATAAAATCCCTCATAGACAATAGTCCCATCGGTGCCTTGACCAATTTCTTTTGATAATAAAACCAATAATTTTTTGCCTATCTGCCTCTGATTTTCATCGGATGAAACTTCTAAACTAGAAGTAGCTCTTTCTTCCGTATGCTGATTTCATAGAAATATTTCTCACTTTAGTACTGTAGAAAATTGATATCCTCCAAGAAAATGAAAAATAGATGAATTAAAACATAGTTAGAGTAGTGTTTATGGGGAGCACGTATACAATCTTCGGCCTTTACATTGTTTTTCTTTTCTTTTCTTTCTTTTCCCTTCAAATATAGATCAAGTAAGATCCATACTAGTATTATATGTCATAATACCTAACATTTTATGTTCCGCATGAAAAGAGTCTAGTTTTATAATTTGAAAGGGTACTGATCAGAATTATAATCTCATAATATATACGAATTAATTTGTGGTGAGATTTTAATTCTATGAATATAGTGATTTTTCTAAATGAAATAACAGTAGGAGATGCAAATCCTATTATCTTAAGGATGTGATTTTCTTCTATTAAAAAAAAAAGAAAAAACAAAAACCCTGTCATACGAGAGAATACATTCATTGCTGAATATTTCCATCCTTAAGGGTACAAAAATTTAAAATGATCAAATTTACTTATTATACATTCCGATAAATTTAAAATTATGCATAATAATATCCAAATTTATTACTCCTCGACTACTTCAAATATATTTCTACACCTACCATTTCATTTTTCATTACTTGGATATTCTCATTTCTGTATTTCTCTCTTCCTTTTTTAGTTGATGCTTCAGGCATGAAGCTTTTTTTTTCATACATAAAGAAACTTTTGTTAATTAAAAAAGTACATTTACTACTAGTGTTTTATAAAAATATTTAGGATTATATATACTAACTTAAATAAAGTATTCATGGTTTGTTAAAAAATTAAAATATAAATGAAAAAAATAAAGGACATTTGGTTATGTAGTTTACTAGCTACTACATTTACCTGCATGCAACTTTTGAAATAGTAATTGTTGGGTGAAAATTAAGAGGTTGTTTATTTAGGTATATGGCTGTGGATGCGTGGGAGATAGAAAACGTATACCACCCAGTTTTTCTTAGGAAAAAAAAAATCGCGGTGTTTCCTTTTATAATGAAATTTGGTTATGTAATTAAGTTTGATTCATATTTTTTTTTCATTTTTTGCGGGTTATAATAAAAACTTTAATTTATAGGCATGTGCCAAAAATCAATTGGGTTATCTTAGTAGAATCATTCTTATGAATGTTAGAATTTACGCACAGTTAAGATATTTAAAAAGTATTCTACCGTAAAATTTTCGTTGCAATGGAGATAGCTATTATATCTCTTGTAGCGTTTTGACCTTAAGTGTATTATATCGCTTGTAACTTTTTGACCTTAAACTATGCACTTTTTTTTTTAATTTTATGAGAATAAAAAATTTGTTTATTTCCTCCTTAACACGCTTTTTTTTCTTCGTTACGGGTGTGTGTTGGCGATTTGACATTGAAGGGATGTGCAATCATGTAATTTAATGTAGTTGTTTATTTATCTTCTCCTATATGCTTCTGCATAACTTTTTTGAAGAATAAAAAACACACTAAGCCAAACTATAAGTTCTACTTTTGTTCACACTTTATTGTTTATGCATTTTCTCTAATATCCTTCATAATGTTTTATTATTGTCCGTGTGTGTAAATTTGTTTTTGGTTTTATGCTATACAGTTTGAGTCAATTAAAATTTTATTTGTTATTAGTTTATTTATGTCTTTACTTGTCATTAAGATTACGAATTTAAGTTTATAATTTGCGAAATTTTAGTTTATAAGTTGCTAATTAATCTTTTGTTCAAAAACTTCAATAGTACTTTTGTTTATTATCCATGATTTTAAATGTATGAACTTTCTTACGAAATAAACTGGACCTTTAGGGTGTCTTTTGAAGGAAGTGGTGGGAAAGGGCAATATATATATATATATATATATGTATATATATAGCATAACTATCAATGTTTTAACATTTTCCATCAAATTTTTAATGGACCCTTTTTATTTATTTTTTGAATTTATTATTATTATTTTTTATACAGCATCGGATCAAACTAGCACCCTCTACCAGACCTCATTCGTACCAAACCACTCTATGCCCCTAGATGACGCGGCATTAGGCATTTTTCGGACAATTTTGCAAGAAATAATTTTAGAGAGAAGAGAACGTTAAATACGTCAATTATTCAGTAAATCATATTCTGAAAGTTATTTATCTATGAATGAAATGTCAATGACACGTGATTGGGATGAAAAAGAATAGTTACAGCATTTAGAAAGGAAATATCTACCGATATAGAAAGAATAAATTATGTACCAGACTCTTGTTCGCCTCTTCAGCAGCTATGACCATATTCTTTTAGATCAAAAAGAAAAGGAAAAGAAAAAAAAAAAAAAAAAAACATTAATGGTTATAAAAGAAGCAACAATAGAATAATACTGGTGATAATAAAACAGTTGGAGTAGAACGAAGATGAGGAACTTAGTACCGTTGGCTGGAGTGAGCCCAAGAAATTATCTTCAACGTCGTCCGACATCGCTCTGGCGTAAATATATCAGATTTCCCAAGTAATTAAAGGGACCTACTACTTAGAAGATGGAAAAATGGCAATGTTGGTATCGAAAGCTGCTTATATATGCTTGAAGAAAAAGAGGGAGATTAGCTTTGGCAACCCAGGAATTCTCCAAACCCATTTAAAAATAAAAAATAAAAAGTTACAGTTCTTTTCAGACTGCATATGATGGAGACAAACCCTTTCAGACATACCTGAGTTAAATATATCCCTTTTTGCCGAGCTTCATGCGTCATCATGTGTTGTTATCCTTCAATATGGTCACGCCGAGAAAGTCTGTACCATGAGAGAGAGAGAGAGAGAGAGAGAGAGAGAGAGAGAGAAGGAGAGAGATAGAGGGACATCATGAAAGGAGTGTGACATCATAATTATAGTGACAGTGATGCATATCCGAGGAAGGGAAAAGCTAGTGCTCTTTCCATGCACGCCGAGAAAGTATATACCATCTAGTAATAAATAAATAAATAAAAAGTGGAATCATGATCCATAATGTGATAAGGTTAAGACTTCGGCAAAAATAAAATAAAATAATAAATTTATGTAAAAAAATTAAATAAGAAAAAATCCCACAAAAAAGTAGGAATGGATATTCACACTGTCAAAAGATCCAATACTTAACAAGAAAGTTATTATCTGTCGTTTATTTTGAGGGGTTGATTTACAGTACTTCAAAATCTCTTTTTACAGTATTATAGTGCTTTTTCTCGTGTAAAATTTAATGATTCGTTTAGTTTGCTGATTCGAGTTTTTAATTCGGGTTAAGATTTGACTTTATATGAGAGTTTTTTATTGTAGTAAAAAAGTTAAATGTGATTATTTGTAAGAGCTTTTTACTGTAATAAAACTCGAATTTTAAACTCAAGTTAACGAAATGAACATGACCTTAAATTTCTATTCAAACGAAGGCAGTGATGGAGGCTGAGTACATTGGACTCACGATGAGTCTTGCCACATTTCCCAAGTAATTAAACGGACCTACTACTTAAAAGATGGAAAAATGGCAATGTTTGTAATGATCGAGAAATTTATCAGAATTATTGTATAAGATAAAATTTTTCTGAAATTCTTTGTATCATCAATATGAATACTTTTATGATGAGTATTTGTTGATATAAATATAGAATAGCAAGTTATAAGTTAAAGTTCAGAAATTTATAAATTACAATGCAGTTATCAATTTTTGGACTGTATTTAAGGAAGAAGTATGGAATATTGTGTTCAGCCCACAAGTGGTTAAACACATGAATATTAAGTTTAGAAAATGGAAAAGAATTGAAAGACTTCAATTCTAGGATTTTGGAAACAATCGGAACGAAAAACAGATGAAAAAGGGGTTCGGAAGGCCGAACCGAGAAATTGGGGTTTTGACTGATGTGAGTTTACCAAGTCAAAATTTGTTGACTAAGAGTCAACCAAAATGTCGCCCTCAAAAAGTTAGTCAAGAATGGTCAAGGTTGACTAAGTTGACCAACTGCTTGAAAAACGCAGATAAAACGTACAGCGGACATAGTCAACCAACTGTCTGAAAAACACAGATAAAACGTACACCGGATAGGAATTAAATAGAGCATAAATGAGATAATTGTTATGAATGGATGGCTAGGATTTAAAGTAATTAAATTGATGAGTGGCTGAGATGAGGACATGTGGAAAGTAGAAAAAAAGGGGCTGCCGGCCAAGCTTGGTCGAGAAGAAAAGAAAAGATATTTTTTAGATATTTTGTTGAATGTTGCAAAATTGTCCTTAGACCCTTGCTTTATGGATTGTCTATTCACTAAAGGAATAATACATGAGAAATGTTCATTTTTCATGCTAAGAACAGAGAGAAGTCAGCCAATGAGAAAGGAAGAGAAAAAAATTCATCCAAAGTGAGAAAAACGAGTTTTGATCGAAATTGACGAAAAGACGCCGCTAGTTCGCGTCATTGAAGCTTGTTCTTCATTCTTTAAGGTGAGAATTCAAGTTTTCCTTCTTATTTCTTCACTATGGCTTCACATGGGATGTGGTAGAAAGCATGAAGAAAAATTTTACATAAAAATGGTGATTTGCTTGTAATGGCTAAGGAACTTGACAACTAGTGAATTAAGGATGGATTCTAGGTTATTGAGCTTTTGTTTCTAGTAATTCTTGGTATGGAGAATTTTTATGAAATATGAGAAAACCCTAGAATTGTGATGTAATTGAAAAAGAAAGTATGTGAATGGTGTTTGATGGTAGAAATAACGGATAAAACGAGCTAAGGTTAGCTCGGAAAAGGCGGAACTCTTCCGAAATTTAGTTTGAGACTTTGTGTTAAAACCAGTTTTCATGAGGAATAAGGAATTAAGAGATGAAAATTAAGTCGATTCGATAATCAGTGATGTATAGAAACCGAACACAATGAGAATTCACAACTTTGGACCAAAACTGAAAATTAGGCCCATGACTGAGAAAGGTTCACGATTTTAGTGCAAATTCTTGTGATAGGAAATATTTTGGGGTTGAATACCAACCATAAGGATTGTAGACGTTTCTGAATTAAATTTCAATATAATTATTGATCTTAGATTTTGAATCTAACGATAATAAATTTATGCAATAGGATCGATTAACGATTGAAGTCGGAAAGCATCAAGTGAGACAAAGGACACATCGTTAGTGAAACTTTGGTAATATTCAGTAGTTTTTCTTATCTACAACATGAATAAATTTATTTCTCTATGTTGCTCAATCCGAGCATATTGTAGACAAAAAATATGCTAGAATGTGAAAGATGACTCCTGAATGTTAGATACAATGTTATGCATGTATCTACAAGACTTAAGTAGCCGTAGAACTTTATTCTGTGAAAAGTATGTATCGATGTTAAGTCGAGGTCAAATTAAGAGGAAAAGTTAAATTTTAACGAAAAGACAATCTCATGATAAATTACTAAAAAATGCACCAAGTCATAAGATTTAACTAAAGTTACAATTTCAATGAGAAAATTGATAAACAGTACGAAACCAAACATCCTGTTTGTATCAGCCTTCGAAGGAAAGGTTATTATGAGACTATGAAAGAAATGAAACCGAGACTGAGTTGGATTGGTTAGCTACCCCACTCCTCACAGGTTATGCGCGCTATGGTACAACAGCACAAGAGGCATAAGAAGTAAAAGACAAGAAAATGAAAAATATAAACCATTTCATGTAAAGGTACGATATTTGTAAAGAAGAATGAAAAGAATGAGAAACACAATATGAAAGTCATTCAGAATGTGAAAATACAATGTGAACGACTAAAGTGAGATGAAAGCTGAACAAAGTATGTAATGAAAGAAGAACATAAGCAATATATGTTCTAGTAGTACAGAATGCCTTAGGATATATGACATGAATGCATGTATGGGTATGCATAATTACTGCATCTATTATGACCTATGGTTACTTGTTAAACCAAAGCTCAATAAGTTTGTTCGTGTTGTAGGAAGCTCGGGTAATGCACCGGCTCCTTGTAACTTGTTGCTGGGCATGCAGAGAGGATGTAACAGCGGAGTGTGGGCAAGTGGGTAGTGGATGCATCACGTGTTTTGGTAACGCTGTTGAACTTTATGCGTAAAAAGTAAATAGTGTTTTATGAATATAGATGACTTATGTAACGAAAGTTGAGTTTACAAGAAAGTGAGGCCATGGATAGCAACCTCTAGTCAAAAGGTATGATTAACGTAATAGAATCTTGACAAAATGCTACATAATTAAGACATATGAATGGTTGAAAACATAATGCTAGCAAAATGCTACGACATTTAGATGTATGAATGGTTAAAAAAAAATTAGCCTGAAATTTTAAGAGGTTATAATTAGAAAGTAGTAGAGGTTAAGTAATGCTAAGCATAAGCATAGGATAATGATCAAAAGTTACAGTCGTGACAACTGGTATCAGAGCAAAAGTTTTGCCACCTACCCACATTCTGCTGAGCATCTGACTCTATAATGTCCATGTAAGTTGTTATTTCCTTTGAATTTAGAATTCAATGTGTGAATTTTGTTTTTATAGGATATACGGTATGGTTCAAACAAGAGGAACTCGAACAGTTCCATGTGGGTTTCATAGAAGAAGTATCAGTGGTCCAGAAAGGGGAATCCGTCCCGATAGTCTACCTGCGATACAAGAAGCAGAACTTGTCCCTTTAGAGGTACCTCTGCAACCCCTACAACCTAATAGAGTAGCTGAGTCACCCCCGATAGATAGGTAAGTGCAAATAGCTATAATTGGAGACCCAATAGGATCTAAGGTCGCTACAAGAGCTGCTTTTGTACTTTATAAGTGTAATCCACCTATGTATGATGGTCAGGTTCACCTAACCAAATTACAAGACTGGCTACACCGAATTGAATATTTGATGGTAGCCTGTGATATTGATGAGAGTGATTGGGTGATTCTAGAAGCCGGCCTATTAGAGTCTGACGCTAGACAGTTTTGGAGGGGTGCGGTAGAAACAAGAAATGCACATGACGTGCCATAGGGTAATTTTCATAGTTTACTGCTAGCTCAATTTCCACCAAGAGAGGCACCTGTAAGGATAGCACCAGAGGTTGCCTCTGCTTCACAGGCTCAACCACATATTGAAGAGACAGAATTTAAGAGATTGGAGAAGTATATACATAAGGTGGATCAATTTAAGATGCGACCTTATGACACCGTGGCAATTTATGTTGAACAGGTCCTTAGTGAGATTATGACTGAGCACACTATCGAGTTAAAAGAACAGGATGCATGTTTAATATTTTGGAGGGGGTTAACAAAAGAGTTGTGAACTATGGTATTTCCATGATAGGAAGTTACATATACCTTCACCCAATTTGTAGAGGAAGTAACGCAATTAGAAGAAACATTGCCTATTGAACGAGAGGAACAAGAATGACGCGTTAGTGAGCATCGAATGGAGTTTGAATGTAGGTAGAGAGAATGCCTATGTAGAAATAGATCAGTGGAGGTGTGTTCTGGAATAGAAGTTGGAACAACATCATCACCCCAACAACAGCGATAAGCAAACGTGGATCCCCAAAACACTGTAAATACAAGTGAGGAAGAAGATTCAAAGGAAGATTTTAGGGAGGCTAATGGGAATTATGCAGATGTATAATATGATGTAATGTTTTGATGATGATGTTCCATTGTAGC